TAACCCATGGAAAAACACCTCTGCCTACACACACGCCTGCTGCTGAGGGGATTTATGGAACACTTTTCCAGGTACGAACACACCTCTTCCTGCAAGGACTGAATTTAAGAAAAAGGTGATTTTTCTCCCCTGGCCCAACACCAGCAGGCGTGGGTTTCTGCACCCGTTTGATGGACTGAGACACTCAAAAATACTCAACACCTGCCCAGCAGGAGTGGGGCACAACAATTTCAGCTTTCTGCCAGGATCACTGGGAGGAAAAGAGGAAAAAGCCTCTTCCAAGATTAAGGGAAAGGAGAGAAGGAGGTGGAGTCCATATAAACCATGCGGATAACTGGAATCGGGCAGGAATGCTTGCCCGAACACCGGTGGGCTCGCAAGGAATTGGAAAACACCTCCAAAGCACCCACCAGGCAGAACAAGTCGCTGGGCTCAGCCCTAAGGGTCTTGCTCCTGGAAAAGTGGGGACCAGAACTGGGAAAAGGTGCCACCGCCAGAAGCCAGCCCTGAATTCCCGATACATTGCCAGCAAACAATTAGCAGTAGAGCCACGCCAGGGAAACACTTGCAGCGGATTCCACCACCGGTACCGGCGACAGAAGACACACGTGAACAGCAGATAACGGGGAGCAGATAACTCGGGTACCCCATTCCTTGGGGCGCCCTCCATATCCCATTCCTTAGGGACCCCCACATCCCATTCCTTAGGGACCCCCCCAGGTGATGGATGGGGGCCACGCCCGGCGCCTCTCACCAGAAGAACGTGTTGGTGCCGTCGTCGTACACTTCGGACTCGGTGCTGCGGCGGGGTCCGGCGCCGTCCCGCTCGGCCCCGGGGGCGCCGCCGTTGGGCTGCGCGGGGGGCGGCGGCGGCTGCTCCTCCAGCGCGGCCTTGCCCACGTTCCCGCCGTGCGCCCGCCGCTCGCCGCGCCTCATGGCGGCGGGGTGAGGGGTGGAAACCGGCGGCGGGGGCGCACCGGGGGCGCCCGGGGGGACACGCGGGGCCGGGGCCGCGGCGGGAGGGGCGGGCGGGGCGGGAGGCGTGACGCGGCGTGCGCGCGCCGCCCGGCGTCGGCGCGTGCGCGGGCGCGGCCGGGCCCGGGGAGGGCGGAGCCGGGCGGGGCGGTGGCGTCTCCCCCCGTTGCCGTGGCAACCGCGCGGCCTCCCGTGCGCATCCGCCCCCCCACCCAACCCCGCCGCGTGACCGCCAGGCGGCACCGTGAGGAGCAGCGCGAGCCCCTGAGGGCGGGAAACGCGAGCCCCTGAGGGCGGGAAACGCGAGCCCCTCAGGGCGGCCGAAGAGCGATAATTGAAGAAAATGTCTCCACAAAAGTGCCCTTTGCCAGGCTGCCTTGCGGCCCTCGAGCGCCCCACGTTGGGTGCCCCACCCCCGATGCCGTGGCTGTCCCGATTGCCGTGTCTTTGTGCGACGAGATGTTCAATATTTGTGAAATATTGTGCGTTTTGCTGGCGAAATAAAATATGTTTTGTTCCCACCCGGAGGGTCTGGCCAAGGGTGCTCACAGGGTGGCCCCTGTGCCCTTGGATTTGAAGAATTCTAAAATTCCTCAGCCCTTCCCAAATTACCTTGGTCAGGCTCCTCATCTGGAATGTCCCATGCCGATCCCGGACGGCAGGCAGGGAGCTCCAGCTTTCTGGAAAGATTTTGGCATGGCAGCAAGCCCCAGGAATACTGTGTGGAGGGAAGGCAAAGTCCTGTGGGAGCAGAGAAATTAAACAGGGAAGGAAATTAGAGGAAGCATTTACAGGACGGCAAATAATCAATATGACCTTTAGAGGTCCCTTCCCACCCAAAGCTATTCCATGGTTCTGTGAAATACTGAAGGGGAGCAGGGTTAGATGGGACATTGGGAAGAAATCCTTTCCTGTGGGGTGAGGCCCTGGCACAGGGTGCCCAGAGAAGCTGTGGCTGTCCCTGGATCCCTGGAAGTGTCCAAGGCCAGGCTGGATAAGGTTTGGAGCAACCTGGGATAGTGAAGGTGTCAGGGCCCATGGCAGGGGATGGCACTGGTCAGGCTTTGACGTTCCTTCCAATCCCAGCCACTCCAGGATTCTCGGATTCTGTGGAATTACGGAGCTGGCCACAGGAGGGCAGGAGCGGGCTTGGCGAGGAGCGGGCAAACCCCAGCAGGACAGAGCTCTGGGACAGATAAAGGACATTTCTGTCTGCTGCGCAATCCCCCCTCCAGCCTAAAACACTCTCCTGCACATCCCACGATGCTCTATGAGAGCTGGAGGCACCCACCTTGTTCCAAATGATCGCAGAATATCCCGAGCTGGAAGGGATCCGTAAGGATCAGCCAGTCCAGCTCCTGCCCTGCCCAGACACCACAACAATCCCACTCCTGCATGCCTGAGAGCATTGCCAAACCCTCCTTGAGCTCCGGCAGCCTTGGGACTGTGACCATTTCCTGAGGAGCCTGTTCCAGTGCCCGACCACCCTCTGGGGATAGAACCTTCTCCTAATATCAAGCCTGTCCTGCTTGGAATCAGCAGCCAGTACTTTCATTACAAGCAGAGATTCACCCCAAACCACATCCTCTGCTCTAACTTATTGACTGTAGCTCCAAGGATACCCACAGATCCAAACAGACCAGGATGTGGGTGAAAACACCCCCAGCTTTGAGAGAACACAGACATCTGCTGCCATTTTAGCACCATCCTGAATCAGTGCCTTTGCACCCTCAGAAGAGGAGCTCCCTGTCCAAAAGCATTGCTGCCAGGCAGGAGGTGGACAGGCAGCCTCTATCCAGCCGCAGGGGTTTCACACACAAAACCCTTCAGCAGTCTCCTCTGGTGGGAATTACCAACTCCACATCCAGCCAGGACTAACAGCTCAGGGAATGCTCCTGGAGCTTCCATGCCAACATTCAGTGCAGGTCAAATCGCTGCCCAAAGTGGCTGGAGTCCAGTGGGTTCAGGTGTGACCAACTCAGCAGCCACAAAGCTGATCACATCCTAAGTGATTTCCTCTACTCTCAAAGGGTCTGTGTGGCTTCCTCCCCAGTTTCAGCTCTTCTGCTGCCATACTCAGTCCCAGTCATCCGAGAGCAGCAAACACAGGATGAGAGGGAAGCACTGGAAGAGGGACAGCATCAACTTGCTCACCTGCCTTGCTGCAAATACAGCTAAATCCTGCCCAAGCAAAACCAAATTTTTCCTAAACAGGAGCAGCAGCAGCAGCATGGTCTCCTCCAAGTGCCATGAAAGATCCTGCAGGGGCTGGAGATACCTTGGCCAAAGCCAACCTGCAGGCACAGACTTACCTTCCCCATTGGCTGTGACATCCATGGGCTTTAGGAGCTGCTGCTGGGTGCATGACCTCCTGGGCTGGAGGTTTCCTCTGGGCTGGAGGTCTCTTCCGGAGAGCTGAGCCATTCTCAGGAAGGAGAAGCAGGAGCATGGGAGGAGTGCCACAGCTGTTCCTCCCACAGATAACCCTATTTCCCCGGAACATGGCAGCGCTCCCATTGCAAAGGCCTTTGCCCTGCCGTCAGGTGGAAAGCACCACCTGGCAGGGCTTCACTCTCTCTGGGTAAACACACACTCTCTCCCAGAGACACAGCCTGCTCTCCACTCCCAGCCAGTGGATCACCATTGGAAGGCTAAAGGTCTGCCCACACCGTGGTTTCACACACAGCAGGATATTGGGAAGATAACTCTGTTTTTCCCCCCGATAATCCCCAGGTCTGGTTTGCCACCTGTTCAAGGTACTTGGCAAAGCCACAGGATGATGGGGGTTTAACTGGGAGCACCACTCTGGAAATGCTGGCTGCCTTTCCTAGCAGAACACAACTGGATTACCACCCCCAGGACCTGGTTTATTTTATAGCAGCCCACAGGAATGCTGTTGGAGGGTACAAGGGAATCCAGAGCAGTTATTAACCCTCCTGTTATCCCAGGAAACACTCTTCTTATTTGTAAATGAAAGCAACAACCCCTTCCCTTGAAAACAGATCCGGCTTACACATAACATTTTCACTCACTTTTTATAATAAGAGTTATTCCCTGTTCCAAGCCATGGGTCCAGATGGGAGTTGATTCAGGTGAGACCCTACCTGAACTTCTGCATCCAGCTCCAGGGTCGCCAGCACAGGAAGGACATCGACCTGTTGGAGAGAATCCAGAGGAGAGACACCAAGTTGATTAGAGGGATGGAGCAGTCCTGCCATGAGGAAAGGATGAGAGGATTGGGATTGCTCAGCCTGGGGAAGAGAAGGCTTTGGGGTAACCTGATTGACTCTTCCAGTATCTGAAGGGAGCCTGCAAGGCAGCTGGAAAGGGGCTTTGGACAAGGGCCTGGAGTGACAGGATAAGGGGGAATGGCTTCCCACTGCCAGAGGGAAGAGTTAGATGGGATATTGGGATGAAATTCTTCCTATGAGGGTGGTGAGGCCCTGGCACAGGTTGCCCAGAGAAGCCATGGAAGTGCTCAAGGCCAGGCTGACAGCACTGTTACACATGGGAAGAACACAGCACACGACTCCCACAGCTGTTTTACCAGTGAGGTGTCAAGAGATTTCTAGAGCTTTCCAGAGCTTCTGTTAATAGCTCCTTGTGGCCATTTTATGGCACCTCTTGGGGATGTCACAGGGCACCACACACGGCCCTGGCACCAGAAGGGGCAGAGGAGAAAGCAGCGCCCTGGAGCTGGCAGGAGGAGCTCGGCACTGTTACCTGCACGGGGCGGTTCTGGGCTTGCCACTCCTCTGGGCGAGGGTGAAGGGCAGCTCCCTCACCTCCTCCTGATATCTGCCCACTGCTTGGCAGAGGCTGCTCCCTCCCAAGGCAGGCACAAGTGCCACACGGAAGTCACAGCACCACTCGGTTCACATGAGACCTCTGAGACCTCGGGTGAAGGAGCTGGGGAAGGAAACCACAGCGTGAGAGAGCCCAGGAGCCTCCAGCCCATCCTGCACACCAGCCCTCTCCTTAGGGATCTGCTCCGAGGGGCACCAAGGAAGGCTCTCTGCTTCACCATGCAGGTAGGAACAGAAACTGCCCTGATATTCCCAGGATGCTGCTTTTCAGCACCTCTGAGCACCTGTGGCTTGGAAACACAGGCTACACTAACCTCCAATCTCTACCACTCACCTGCTTTCAGCCTTTAACGTACAAAATTCCTACAAAGTGTATGACAGGGAAAGCAGGATGTGCTGCCAGTCCCATGCACCATCCCGAGGTGCAGTGGAGTCACACTGGCCCCACACGTTGGCCCCAGAGTTCAAAGGTGCCAGAGCACAGAGCAGAGAAGGATGGCATGGATGGAGCTTATGTAAACCTAGGAATGAGCACTGCAGTGGTGACAGCCTCAGGTGTTCCAGGAGCACCTGGAATACAGCAAGGGCAGAGGGGGAGCTGTGATCTTTTTCTTTTATAATTTGGAAGAAAAGATGTGGGTTTTTTCCCTGGGAAAAGCCAGGCAAACTCTCCAAATTCAGGGCAGGTAGTAAAGGTACAGGTCTGCCTCTCCAAGCAAAGGCTGTCCCACTTCTCAGGAAGCCACAGGCTAAGGTGGAAGTGCTCCAAGGGAAGCTGTGTAAGAAACATCCTAGAGATAAGACCAATTTGATCATCTCAGTGTGGGTGACGGGAACCACCCAACTCCACACCAATCCATGACTGAAAAGGAAAACAAGGATGCCAGATCCTATCCAGATCCTTGTCCTGAGTTACTCACATGGTGACTCTGCACACAACCCAGTGGTGCCTCTGGCCATTTCCCAGAAGGAACACTCAGGGCAGTGGGTTACCTGGCTGGGGACAAGGACCAAAGATACACCTTAGAGGCATGGAAACCCTTTTCAAACATGGAAATTCCTGCTTCTCCTTGTGCCAATCACTTTTACACCTTTGCACAGCAGCACCTCCAGATCCTGTTCCAAACACAGGACAGGAAGCAGTGAAACTGAAACTGTCCTTCCTGGGAGCAGGGATAGAGCCCAGGGTTCATACATCCACTGCAGAGCCCAGGTGGCCTTACCTGCACCTGATCTCACTGCCCTGCGAGGCCAGAGCACAGCAGCCACTGTCAGACAGCCTCCCTAATTCCCAGGAAAAAACAATTAGTTGTGAAAGCAGCAGTGATCCAAAGTCCCTGCCTGCTGGAGCTATCCCTGCCCACACATCCCTGCCTTCCCATCAAGAACTGCAGCAGCAGGACAAGGGGGATGGCTTCAAACTGCCAGGGAGCAGGATTAGATGGGATACTGAGAAGAAATCCTTCCTTGTGAGGGTGGTGGGGCCCTGGAATGGATTTCCTAGAGAAGCTGTGGCTGTCCCATCCCAGGAAGTGTCCAAGGCCAGTCTGGGAAGGCTTGAAGCCACCTGGGCCAGTGGAAGGTGTCCATGCCCATGGCAGAAGGTGGAACTGGTCAGGATTTAAGGTCCCTTCCAACCAAGGCACTCTGGGATTCTATACACACCCCATATGGTCCCAAAGGCAAGCTGGGCACCTGCATGGCAGCCTGAGCCCCAGCAGACACACCTTGGTAACCTTTCAGCCTCTTCTCAAAGAAGGGGATGTGCTGGCTGGGTTGTTTGGATGCCCAAGCAGGACTGTCCCTGCAGGTGTTGGAGTTGGGAGCCACCTGGGAACAGAAGGTGTGATGCCAGCAGGTCCCTTCACCTCATCTCAAGCTTTACTGGGGACAGCAGCAGCAGGAAAAACGTGCCAAGATGGCACTAGGAATACCCTAAAACATTCCCATACCCAAAGGATGGCTTCCCCTCCACATCCATCCACAAGATCACAGGTGGCACTGGCAGGGAATTGCTGCAGGATGAGGCTGGTGCACATGGAGGCTGAGAGAAACCAGCCAGGCGGGAATGAGCCAACACAACAGCAGAGTGTGCCAGGCCAGATCCATGCCAGCATCAGAGCACTGGCAGTGGGCAGATCCCTGAGAGGTTCCCACTCCCTCCCCTGTGCTCAGAGAGGGGCTCAGACTGGGATACAGGGAACTCCTGCACCCAATCCTGCCCCCCAAACTAGTTAGAGCAGATGACAGCACCAGAACTCTGCCTCTTGCTATAAACTGGGGTACTTTTTATCCAAGAGAAGTTCTGGCTCTTGTTACAACAGCACCTCGGGGGGAGAGCATCCCTCTTCTCAAGCCTTCCTGCTTCTCATTCTTGTCAATCAGTCTCCTCATGGCTCTTGTGCTTTGGCTGATCCATGTCAGTGAGCATCTGGCAGAATATTTCAGCCCTTTCCTCATCCCCAGCTTCTCTGCTCCCATGGCCTCATTCTCCAGTGAAAGCTTGGGATGCAGATCTTACATCAGGGCACAGTTGCACCACCATGGCTCTGCTGCCAAGATTACAGCCAGAGGAACTCGTCTGGCTGGCTGCTCTTTTAGGTCACAATGTCTCTGGTGACCCCAAGTGACAGTATTCCCATCCCTGGGAATTCCCATTCCCCTTCCTGCTGCTGTCCTGCGTCACCTTCCCTCAGGAACAGCAGTGTAACTGTTTGTGGGGACACACCACAAATCACACCAAAGGGTGGAAAATCCCCCACAGGGACAGCTGATGGCTTAAGCTGAAGGAGAGCAGGGTTAGATGGGATACTGGGAAGAAATCCTTCCCTGTGGGGATGCTGAGGCCCTGGCACAGGGTGCACAGGGAAGCTGTGACTGCTCCATCCCTGGAAGTGTCCAAGGCCAGGCTGGAGCAACCTGGTCTACTGCAAGGTGTCCCTGGGGGGGACTGGATGGGCATGAAGAGCCTTTCCAACACAAACCATTCCATGATGCTTGCTTTGTGCTCCCCCACACCTGCATCCTGGGATGTCTGAGTCTAATCACCTGTAACCAGGAAGGTGGGAGCTGCACAGCTGTTCTCTCCAGAGCCACTCACACACAGGAGGGGAACAGGCAAAAGCCAGAGTTCAAGCAGTATTTGGATAACACTCTTAGGCACATGGACGCTTGGGGTGGTCCTATGCAGGGCCAGGAGCTGGATTCAATTATCCTTGAGAGTCCCTTCCAACTTGGGATATTCTATGATTTTATGATCAGCGGCTCATCCTCCCCACTCTGTCCCTTGGCTGCAGCCTGAAGCATCCAACATGCTTTCCAAGGACTTTTTTCACCTGTTTTAGCAGGGTTGTTCCAGCCTCCAAGTGTCCATGCTCCACTCTCTCTTTACTGGAATTTAAAAGTACCTTCCCCACCCTCCCCAAAAAGCCAACAGTGCCCCCCTGTCTGACAGGAACAACTGACAAATGGAAAAGGCTGATTAAAGGCTGTAAAATCCACTATAGCATGAAGAGAGAGGGTGAAAGGTGAACACTTCCCCAGTACCAATGTCAGGGCATCAGGTGAAAGAGCTGAGAGAGGTTTTTTCTCCTGGTCCAGATCCCTCACAGCCCCAGGGCACCCTTGGGCACAATGAGTTCTAGGGGAGGCTGCACACCCTCCCAGGGCAGCAGTCCCTGCAGCATTCCTAAACACAAACCCCTGGCTGGCTTGGCAAGACCCCAAACTGGTGATCAGGTGCATATAGGAGGAAGTTTCACACAAGCCTGCTCTTACCTTCCTCCCTGGGCAACTCTTGGAGGGTGCTGGAAGAGGAAAACACGGCATCTCCCAGGGAGCCTGCTGAAGCCTTCTCTCCACTGTTTTTTTTTTTCACCAGGATGAAATTCTGCTGACTCCCTTCAGGGAATTTCCTGCTGAGGACACGGACTCCTTTGCCTCCCCAGTAAGCTCTGCTCCTTCTGCATCTGCAGCAAGTCCAGCCCAGCTCAGAGAGAGGGAAAAGCCCCATTTCCCTTGCTCATTCCCAGCTCCCCTCTACACAGCCACAATGAGGATCCAAACCTCCAAGAGGCTGGAGCTGGGAAGGAGAGCCTCAGCTTTCCATCCCTAATAATTCCCTGCTGGTTTTGTGGGCAGAATGAAGAGAAGTGGGATTTTGTCCTGGTGAGTGACATCCACGAAATGGGCAGTGAGAAAGAGATCAAGAGGAAGAAGTTCCTGGATGAGCTGAGCAAGAAGGGCTTCACTATCAAGGTGAGGGGCTCTGGGAGGAAAAGGCAGCAGATACTTGGCTTGACTTGGGCTCCTGCATCCCAGGAAATGGGAGAGGTCTGAACCATTGAGCTATTCACCACATCAGAGAAGGAAAATAACCCACTTGCTCAACCAGCAGAGAAAGACCCCAGCCCCAGGACTCACACAGCCCCCTGGCCTTCCAGCTCTGGCCCTTCCCTGCCTCTCTGGCTCTGTTTTAGCAACCCTTCTCTTCCCCTCACCAGAAAATTGAGGACACAAAGCTCTTTTATGGAGTCCGTGCCCCGCAGCACATCTTCTGGAAATACCAGTGTCTCCTGACGAACTCCAACAGCAGGCAGCAAAACTCCAGTGCCTACCATGACGTCCCAGTGACCACCAGGTGGGTGCTGAGCTGATTTCCAGCCTCCACACTCACTGTTCTCCACACCAGCATCCATTTTCCAGCTCGGTTCACAGCTGCGCCCGGATTTTCACTTTCCACAGAACCATCCTTCACCTCCCACATGCAAAGCTGATGGCTTCTCACTGCCCACATTTCTCCCTCCCTTGCTTCCCTGGATCTTAGTGCACACTTCTCCCTCCTCTGCCCTGTTTTCCTGAGCCACACAACACAAGTCTGTATCCCAGAGCAGCCTTTAAGCAGAGTTTCTCCTTGTTCAGGATACGGGTCGTGCACTTCATCCTGCAGAACACTGTGACGTCCGACTTAGGTAAGGAAATGGGGATCACAGGGGTGATGTTCAACCTGGATCTGCAGGAAGGATCCTGCCCAAGAATCCTGATCATTGGCATCCCAGCTGCCTTGCCATCCTGGGGAGAACAGAAAAGGGGGGAGCTCAGACAAGTCAATTTGCTGCTGCATCCAGAGGCTGGGAGATTTGGACAGCAGGAGCCAGCAGTTCCTCTGCTCTGTCTCCCCAGAATCCTAAGTCTAACCCTGTCTCTTCTGCTCTGCTCCCAGAGAAGCTGCATGACCTGATGAAGAAGAAGGTGTTTGAGGCAGCATTTCCCCTGCACAAGGTGATGCTGAGCACACAGTGCCTGGGAGGAAAATCCAGGAGAGATGGAAGAGGAGGATGGGGTGGGGGAGACCTGCGGGTGACTGGGGCTGCACCAGGAGCTCACTGGGTGAAGGGCATGGCAAAGCTCCCGGCAGCTGCTTTGGAGCTGGGCAGGGCATTAAGGGTGCCTTGGTGTTCCTGCATCCAACCAACTTCTCTGCTCTCCAGAAAGAAGAGATAAGGGAAATACTAAAGAAGAAGTGGGCTCGTTGGAGAGTTCTATTTAAGGAACAGCCAATTGAGGAGATCAGGTAATAACAGGCAACAAGAGGCAGATCTTTCTAACCTAGAGGTCTCACCTGAAACCTAGAGAGCTCAATGCCCTTTGCCAGGCTCCTGCATTGTCTTAAAAATCATTAGTTTGAACCTGGCTCTTCTCACAAGCACTGGGCTGCCTCTGCAGCATGCAAAGCTCTTAGCCTGAGGGTTATCCCTGTGGGTCCAAATTCCATCTGCTAATCCTGCAGCATGAAACAACCCCCATGTCTGTGAGGACTGTAATGAACCTGTTTGGTTTTCAGCCACATTCAGAAGGCAGGAGAGGTGGGAATGGAGCATCAGTGCTGCATAGCCAGCCTGAGGCTGAACTCGGGGCAGTAAAGGCAACATGGGGCTCCTACAACCACATGAAATCCCAGGAGAGAGCACGGCTCTTGTTTTTGCAAGCTAACTCTGTGGGCAGGGATGGGAAGGCAAAAAGAACGTGTTACTTCATAAACCTGCCAGGGGGCTCTGGTAGAGAGCGAAGATCTTAAAATAGAGGTGCACCTCTGACAGCTGGCACGGGATACAGGGCCCCCAGTCCCTCAGTCAGTAGGTAATTCCTTATCCATTACTCCAACCTACTCCGCACACCATAAAAACTGAGATACTGCCACCATGAGCATTTTCTAGTGACTCCCAAAATCTGATCTCCTTTCTGACTGCAACTCCCACCTCACCTTTCCTCCTAGGTGCTATTTTGGAGAGAAGGTGGCCTTGTACTTCGCCTGGCTGGGCTGGTACACCTACCTGCTGATTTTCGCTGCCCTGGCTGGGCTGGCAACCGTCGCAGCTGGGGCTACTGTTTTCAGTTCCAGCCAGGTGAGGTAAGGCCCTTGGGAATGCCAAATGCACATCCCATCCAGCTCTGCAGGTGGCTCTGAGGCACCCCTGTCCCCCTTGCCTTCTCCTTTCTTCCAGCAAGGAGATCTGTGATGCCAACAACACCATCATGTGCCCGCTCTGTGACCAGAATTGCTCATTCTGGGTCCTTGCTGACACCTGCACCTATGCCAAGGTAGGGAACCCCCTTTCCAGGGCAGGCTCAAGGTAAAGGATGGGCAAATGCTCCCAGCTCATGCTGCTCCCACACCACTAAAAAGAAGCCCCACCCCAGATCACCATCTCCATCACCACCATGGAATATTTTACCAGTTACAAGCCCCAGTGTCCATCACCGTCCTGTGTTTTGCCCTCCTGTAGCACCTTTGCCTGTGTCAGGGGAGACAAAAATGCCAAGACCCCGAGGTACCACAGCCCCTGCACCTCAGTGCCCCATCACACTCTTCCTTCATCTCTTGCAGGTCACTCACATGATTGATAATGAGGCCACAGTGGTGTTTGCCATTTTCATGGCCATCTGGGGTAGGTGTCCATGCCTGGGTGCCCAGCACATGTGGTTAGGAGAGGGAGCAGAAGGTGGAAAAAGGAACACCAACGTAGCTTCACCCTTTGGGATGGGTTTATATCTCCTCTGCTTCCAGAGCCTACAGCTCCCCTTCCAGATACTGCAAGAGAAAAAACCATTCTGGTGATATCCTCCAGCTCCCCAGATATTCCTTACTTAAAGCTTGTCCTACCTGAAGCTTCTGCTCAGCATAGCCTCCCCAAAGGCACCCAGCAATTTTCTAGCAGCTGCCTATAAATGGCCACAACCACAGGAAGGAGGGGCCTCCAGCCTCCTCCTCCACCTTCCCAAATTGCAGGGCCTCATGGGATTTGCTGTGGGATGATGGGATGCCATCACTGCCTTGGTTACACACTCATCTGGGTTTTCCACAGCCCGTTCCCTGACCAGCCGCCTCGGGAGCGGGCCAGGTGTCCCACTTGTGAAGCCATGGCACAGTCCTGAGTGTGTCCCTGGGCTGGGTCACACAGGGACACAATCAGGAGTGTCCATCCAATTAACATAAGGGGTGGCTAGATTTGGGTTGGAGAGGTGTAGCCTTGACAGGGTGCAGTGCAGGACACCCATTCCACCTGAAAGTGACTTATCCCAAATTCCCTATGGACACACTAGACCAGGCCAGTGAAAGCTCACCTGCACCATTTCTGTTCCCTCACCACTGCCTGTCCAGGGCCCTTCCAGGTCACCAAGGCGCAGAGGGGACTGCCTGTCCATGGGCCAAGGGCAGTCCAGGCTGCTTTGCCATCAGGTTGGATGTGATGTCACTCTCTGGGAGACAGAGGAGTGGCATTCAGAGCCATTCCTAAGTGTCACTGCACTTTCTCCTTCCCAATCCAGCCACTGTATTCCTGGAGCTGTGGAAGAGGGAGAGAGCCAATGTGGCCACCAGCTGGGACCTGTACGGGTGGGATGAGGAAGAGGTGAGGACATCATCTTTAGTGCTTGGTGCTTCCCCTTTCAGGGCAGGAGTCACTTGGCTGTATAAAAGACATATCAGAGGGGTTCCTTGCCCAGACTGAACTCAATCAGGCTTGGGCATGCTCTTGTAGATTGAGTGCTCACCCCTGTCCTCCTCCAGCACTGCTCATCCCATATGTCCACTGACACAAGGGGCACAAAGCTCTGCTGGGGCCTTTCTTTCCCATTTTTAATGTTAATATATATATATTTTAAGGAGGAGCTGGCTCTTCAGCTGATCAATAACTCACAGCACGAACCCCGGCTGTACCAGCACTCCTACTTCCGCAGCACCATCGTCCTCATCTTGGCCCTGCTGATGGTACGTGCCAGGTGACAACGGGAATGTTTGGTTTGAGGGCACATGGACCAAAGGAGCAAAGGCACAGATCGGGTTTTTAGGGCAGCTCCATGCCCATCACAATGATCCTGGGGCTTCCTCATGCTCACCCTGTGCTGATGGCAGGGGCCACGCACCCTTTGGGGACATGGGCTGTAGGCTCTGCTCTTGCAGTGAGGATCAAGGCAGTAACACGGAAAGCAGGAAGAGGCAAATCCCAATGCACTAGTGCCTACTGTGGGTCAATGGAGACTGGTTTAGGTGGAGACATAGAATCCTGGAATCACAGAATGTTAAGGGTTGGAAGGGACCTTATCTAATCCCAAGCCCCGTGCCATGGGCAGGGACACCTCCCACTACTCCAGGTTGTTCAAGACCTTGTCCCACCTGGCCTTGAACACTGCCAGTGTTGGGGCATTCGCAACATCCCTGGGGAGCCTGTTCCAGTATCTCCCCACCTTCACAGGGAAGAATTATTCCTAGTATCCAGCCTAAATTTCCCCTCTTTCAGTTTGTACCTGTTACTCCCTGTCCCATCACTACACTCACCTCACAAACTTGTCGGCCTCCACTGAGAGGTGCTGGTTTTCCTTTGAGGCCACCTCCAAGGCCCTCCTGAGGGGACCATCAGGAGCAATGGGGCACGTGCCCTCGGTGGCTTCTGACCTCTCGTCTCCCTGTCCACAGATCATGGTGCTGATCGGCATTGCCCACGCACTCGTCATCTACCGGGCGGTGGCCATGGCTCTGTTCACGCAGAGCGAAGTGAGCCTGCTGAGCAAGCACGCCGACATCATCGCCGTGATGACGGGGGCCGTGCTGCACTACATCACCATCGTCATCATGACCAAGGTGAGGAGCCACACGGTGTGCCTGGCAGGATTTCTCCATGGCCAACCGCCCCCTCTCATCATATCCCTCTGTCCTGCAGGTCAACTGGCATGTGGCCCTCTTCCTCTGTGACCTAGGTAAGGGAAATGGGCTGTGTCCCACCTGCAGCACCCGTTTGTCTCTGGGCATAGCCAGCCTCCCATCCCCTTCCCTCCCTCCACCAGCACAAGGCAGTTCCCAAGCAGCTCCAGACAGGGAGGCCAGAAGCACCCTGGCACACACTCACCTGTGGCCCACAGCCAGCTTTGCAGGGACAGTCGCCCTACATGGCTGAGACCTGGCACGAGCAGGAAGCCCCCTCAGCTCTAGGACAGTCACAACATGGATTTCCTCTCAGCTCTAAGGCCTCTTCTCCCTCAGCTCATGGCTCCGAGGGACCTCCCTGCTTGGGTGGCCTCACCTCCATCAGAAGGCTCAGGTGGAGGGCAGAGCCTTCATGAGTGGCAGATGCCCTTTGGACCTCCAGAGCTGTGGTGGCACCCATGGGGGAGCAGGGCAAGGTCCCACTGCTCTATGACCAAGCCCCCGGGCATTGCTCCCTTTCCTAGAGAAACCACGGACCTTCTCCCAGCGGGAGAACAACTTCACCGTGAAGATCTTCCTCTTTCAGTTCTTCACAAACTTCTCCTCGCTCATCTACATTGCCTTCTTCCTGGGACGGTGAGTAGAGAACACAGGGCAGCCAGGGTTTGGGATGGGTGTTCCTGGCTCTCCTCAGGGTGTATGGACAGCCCAGCCCCTCTGCCCTCCCCACCAGGCACAGGGACCCCATTTGGGACTCAGAAGGGCCATGATCCCAGGGGTATCAATGTTACTTCCTTGCTCAGGATCAACGGCCACCCAGGGCACTACGTGCGCATCGCTGGCCACTGGAGGCTGGAGGAGGTGAGGCACCCACCCTCTGACCCCACAAACAACTCCTTCTGTTCCCTTCCCTACTGCCCAGGGGGCCTCTGGGAGGCTCAGCTTTCTCCCATAGCACCTGCCAAAGGGGCCCTGGGGCCCATCCACCCTGCTTTCAGGGCACAACCCCTGTCTTGTCCCCTCCAGTGCCACCCTAGCGGCTGCATCACCGACCTCTTCATCCAGATGGCTGTCATCATGGTGCTCAAGCAGACCATCAGCAACATCATGGAGTATCTCATCCCGTAAGCTTCCCACACTGACCATGACAGGGAGAGGAATCCTGGTCTTCTTCCTTCTCCCCTCCCTCTAGGGATGTGCTGGAAGCAGCCCAGCCCTGCAGGCAGCCACACAAATCCCTCTCTCCCACTGCAGCTTGATATCCCACCAGCTACGGAAGAAGAAAAAGCGCCCCAAGAAGAGAAGCATGATGTTAGGAGAGGAGGAGGAGGTAGAGGACCCCTGCAAAAGGCAGTGGCTGAATAACTATGAACTCAACGAGGTCAACGTCTTCAGCTTGTTCAATGAGTACTTGGAGATAGGTATGTGGGGCACATCCTTGTGCACTCCTTGGCTGGGGAGTGATGGATGCTAGGGATTCCATACAGGCAAGGAGCCACAGCTCCACACCCAGCCCTGCTCTGAGAGCCCTGGGACACCAAGATCGTTCCCAAAACTGAGGGCAAGCAACTGTGCTAGCCTTTGGCCCTGCCTCAGACCTTCCTCTCCTTCCTGGGCCCCAGCTGTAACCCCAGGGTGTGCCTGTGCCTGGCTGGCTCAACTATCCCCAGAGATCCCACTCTCTGACAGCCCTGTGTGAGCTGGGCATCCCCAGGATGTGGCTATCTCCCCTTCCACCCCTGCAAACCCCTCCGACCCAAACCACAAAGCAGGACAAACCCAAGCGGAGGGGAACGTCCCCTCTGCCGTGGCTTCACACCAACACCTGGCGTTTGCCTCTCCACAGTAATCCAGTACAGCTTCACCACCATCTTCGTGGCAGCCTTTCCCCTGGCCCCGCTGCTGGCCCTCATCAACAACGTCATCGAGATCCACATGGACGCCATCAAGATGATGCGGCTGCGCCGGCGCATGGTGCCCAGGAAGGCCAAGGACATCGGTGAGAGGGGTCCTGCCAGAACCAGGCTGAGCCCCTAAGCATGGCCATGGGACATGGCACAGGGAGAGCCATTAGTCAGAGAAGGACAAGCTGCTTCAGTCTCTGCCAGAGGCCAAAGTGCAGCTTGGAGGCTCCCTTCCTTGACCTGGCCATGCTAAAGCCATCCCTGAGCTGGAATGGTGGCAGTGAGCTGGCAGAGGGACCTCACTGGCTGCTCCTCTCCCACAGGGATCTGGCTGCAGGTCCTAGAGGCCATTGGCATCCTGGCTGTCATTGGGAATGGGCTGGTGATCGCCATCACCTCCGACTTCATCCCTGTGCAGGTCTACAAGTACATGTACAGCCCCTGCATGAGGGAGAACCACACCAGCATGGAGTGAGTTCAGTTCTGAGACAGTTTCTGCCCACAGCATCCTCACAGCTTTGTCCCCACAGCCGTGTCCTCTTCTGCCTCAGTGCCACCACTGCAGGAGCACAAGACAGTTGATCTGTCCCCCAAAGCAGGGTGGGGGGAAAAGGGAACAGGGGAACATTCCCAAATGGCATCACCACATCATTCCTGTGGTGAAGGGCAGTGTGTAACATTGAAGGGCTACAGGATTCCCAGGATGCAGGCACATGCTCTCTCCTGCCCTCCCTGTTTCTCCAAGCCTTGGCTGAGTGACCCAGTTCACTCAAACTGGACAGAAGCTTCTGAGCCCTCCATTTCCACCAGGCTTTGAGAAAGTGGGCAGTGAGAGCCCCAGGTGGGTTCTGCTTTCCCAGAACAGGAGGTACAATCCGTGCTCAACCCTGTCCTTCCTCACAGCTGCTCCACCGGGTACATCAACAACAGCCTCTCCGTATTCCACATCCAGGACTTCGAGCCCCACACCAAGGTGCTGCCAGAATTTAAAGGGGAGCAGATCAAGGAGTGCAGGTAAGAGCAGCCCCCTGCCACCCCCTGTCCCTCACAGTGACATCCAGGCCAGAATGGCATGGCCTGGGCTGGCACTGATAGAGCTGTGCTGCAGGTACCGGGATTACCGGAATGCTGACGACTACACCTACACCATCCAGTTCTGGCACATCTTCGCAGCCCGGCTCGCCTTCCTCATCCTCTTTGAGGTGAGCACCCAGGGAGGCAGGAGAGGGCTGGGAAAGGGGTTAGATCTGTGCCTCGTGCCCTGACTGCCTTTGCTTCCCACAGCACGTGGCTCTGTGTGTGAAGCTGATCGCGGCCTGGTACATCCCCGATGTCCCCCAGAAGGTCAAGAATAAAATTCTGACAGAAAAACACAGCAATCTCCGTAATGAACTCAGGTGGGTGATGCCCTGGAAGGTGCCAGGGGTTGTCAGGTTTGAGGATCTGTCTGCTCTGAAGCCTCTTTTCCTTTAGAAAAAAAGAAAAGCTCCAAGTTAAAACAAGAAGTGATTTTGCCCAGGGAAGGACTTGGTCCAGGTTTTCCATCTAAACATTGTTTAAAGAAAAAGGATTAAGTATTTCAGTAGGAAACAGAACCATTGTAGCTGCCCCAGTGCTGCTGTCCCATACTGACTAAGCCCTGCACTGGGGAGGGCTCAACCTGACCCCTCTCCATGGCCACCCTGTCCCAGCTGCCACCCATAATCCCGATGGGAGCAGAATGCAGGGTTCAGGAAATACCCATGTCTTGATTTGAAAAGACAGGTCTGCTAAGGAATGAAGGAGCCTTCCTTGAAATTGAATACGTAAACCCCCACCCTCTGAATTATTATGATTTTGAAATTAAAAGGCTCTCAGGCAAAGATATTGGAATAGGAATAAAAGTTCTTTACTAGGAAAATTAAAAATACAAATGCAATAGTATGAACAAGAAAACAAACCACTGACAGAGTCAAAATACAGCCTGAGACCCTGTGGGTCAGGGTGGAGTTTTCCTCTGAAGGTTCAGTGGTGGAGTAGATAGGCATGGTCTTCCTCTGGGAATCCAGTGGAGAAGACAGCTGCTCCTCTGCAAATCCAGTGGGAAAAAGCTGCTGTGGTGTTCTAAATCTCAGATTATATCCAGGGAGGAATGGTTGGCTCTTCCCTCTGGGCAGAGCTTCTCCCAGTGGAATGATAGAATTTTATCAGTCATGCAATGAGATTCTATGACCCATGAACAGAAGATATCTCCTGGAGGGAGGATTGGTTGTGGAAGAGATAAAGAAAACTGCCCAATTAACAGAAGATAACTGCCCCAACTCCAACAGATGGCAAATAGAATACACACCCCCACTAACATCTTTCAACCAGTGTCATGGTTTAACACTGGCCAAACTCCAGGCACCCACAAAAGCCACTCACTGCCATAGCTGTGCAGAGGAGAGAAAAAATTAACAAAGGGTTCATGAGTTCAGATAAGGACCAGGAGAAAACACTCCAAGGGCAAAACAGGCTCAACTTAGAAGTACAAAGTGCATTTATTACTAACAAAATCATAGGACCATAATGAGAAGCAAAATAAGCTCTTAAAAACCTTTGCTTCCCCCAACCCTTCCCTCCTTCCCACTGACAATGCAGGGAAGAGGGCATGGGGGTTTTGGTTAGCTCATCACACCAGGTTTTCTTCCACTGCTCAGGGAGAGGAGTCCTTCCCCTGCTACACCATGGGCTCCCTTCCCACAGGAGAGAGTTCTCTGCAATCCTCTCCACCACGGCTCAAAACTCACAAGCAGGAATCCTCCCAAAACTGCTGCAATGTGAGTCCCTTCCTTGGGTGCACAGTCCTAAAGCTGCTGCGGTGTGGGTCACTCTTCCACAGGGTCAGTCCTTCAAGGACAGGCTGCTCCAGCAGGAAGCAGGGCCCCCTCTCTCCACCAGGTATCCCACTGGATCACAGCCTCCTCCAGGCACCCACCTGCTCATCTCCCCACAGGTTTCGGGTGGCTTTCTGCATCCCCCAAGGATCCCCATGGGCTGCAGGGGCACAGCTGCTTCACCATGGTCTCACCACGGCCTGCAGAGGAACCTCAACTCCAGTGCCTGGAGAAGCTTTTCCCCCTCTTTCTGCACTGACCTTGATGTCTGCATCTCGTTTCCCTCGCATGTTCTCACCTCCTCCTCTTCTCTGGCTAGCAAAAAAAAACCTGTGCACCTTTTTGTTTTGATTTTCTTCTTAAATACATTATCAATATCTCCATCTCTGGCCCAGCCTTGGCCAGCAGCATGTCCATTATCAGAGCCATCCTGGAATTGGCTTTGCCAGACATGGTGGAAGCTTCCAGCAGCTTCTCACAGAAGTCACCTCTGTGCCCCCACAGTACCAAAAACCAGGCCATGCAAAATCAACACAACACTACGCTGTCACAGCTTTCCATCTCTGCCTTCCTACTGACTGGGATTTCCCACAAGCAGGGCTTTCCCACAAACAGCCTGTAATTCTTTCTCAGTCTATTCTGGGGAAGAGGCCCTGTTCCTACTTGCAGTGTTTTTCTACACCTCCCAACTCAGACAGTTCCCTTCCCAACACCTCTTCTCCTCTCTCCCCAGCACAACAGAATACTCCACCGAGGTGTAGCCACCGCTCTCCAAGGAGAAGAACACGGACTCGAGCCCCTTTCCCAGCCTGGCAGTGCCAGGGGTGCCGGATGAACCCCACGACACGGTGCCACGTGTCCCACCTGGGACCGAGCTGGACTTGAGCTGGGAAGTGATGACAAGACAGTGGCTTCACAGGAGCAGACTGCTTTCTGACTCGGGAAGGATGCTGTGGCAGGGCCGGGATGAGCCTCCCCGGCATGGGGAGTGGCTGGGACAGAGCCCGGCGCTGGGGACAAACCCAGGGGCAGCACCCAGATGTTGTGCTGCAGGAGATCACCTGGGTCCTTGTCACTCACTTCCTTAAGCACAGGAAACACCACTTACGTCGTTCCAGCCTCCCTCTCCAGCCCTTTTGTTGCACTTTGGCCTCTTTTTCCACTGCCTTCCGTGACCTCCTTGCTGTCGCACCCCTGGGGAACTTGAGTCCCTCTTTCACCGAACTCCTCCCCGGCATGACTCCCACTAGGATGCAGCTCCGCCCTGCTGTCTCCATGGACGCAGATCCACGGTCTTTGGGAAAATGCCGTTGTTATCTCGCCTTTAGCTCCAGGCTCAGCCAGGTCCTCAGAGCTGTTCCTGGCTCAGCTGCCACCAGCCATCAGTAAATAAATACAACAACCACGTGGACACGCTGCCTGGTATTGCTCCTGCCTTCCTCCTCTGCCATCCCAAATCATCCCCCAAAACCTTTCCTCGTCTTAGTGGGGACAATCACAGCAGGTGGCAGCTGCAGTGCCAGCTCTGAGGGCTGTGTGGGAGCTGGTTGGTGGGACACCAAGACTTGGCCATGCACAGTGGGAACACAGCCTGGTAAACGTGCCAGGATAATGGAAATACGTGGGGGAAATGAGAAAAACACAGCAAATCCCAAATGATAGGGTTATCCCACCTTTTCCTTTAGAGACTTCACGACTGGCTGGCTGCCATACTCCAGATAGAACGAGTTTGTCTGCAGCAGGAATGGGCACTGGACAGGTGCCACAGCTCAAGGGTCTCTGACAGGGGATCCCAGAGGCAGAACTGGGGGACAGCCCCCTCCTTTCCCACCCATAGTGACCCCAACCTGGCTGGACACCACCCTGGCACTGCCTGTGTCCCATGAGGAGCCCGCCACAGACGCTTCCCAAGGTGTCATTCCTGGGGGCTGTGCCCTGGAGGTGACACATTCCAGTCAGGACTGCAATGAAAGGCACCAGGGTTAACTCAGCCTCAGAACTTTGTTCCCAAGAGCATGGAAAGCCACTAACAACCCCATAGGGAATGGAAAGAAGCTTGCTGAGCCCTCAGGCTTGTCCTGTTTTTGCACCGTTGTGGCCAAAACTGGATCTGCTCCTCCATGTAACTTACCACAGGGATAACCTTGATGGACAAGAAAGATCTTATCGGCTCCTGGTTTGCTCCCAAGCCTCCCCACACCCCTGCCATCCCCAGGACCTGGGCTTCTTCCATGCAATCCTTCACTATCCCACAAATACAATACATTTACACTGGATTTTCACAGTGTCTGTGAGAAGTGTGCAGCCCTCAAAAAAGGCTGCTCTAAAACACACACAGCCAGTGGCTGTGGGACCAAGGAGTAGAGGATTCTCCCCAGAGATGCCAACAGGGATCTGCCTCTTTCCCTCCCACAACAAGCCAACAACACTGGTAGCTTATATCCTAAACAACAAGGAGTCAGAGTGTTTCTCCATGGGAACAGGCTCAGAGGCCTACCTGTGACCTGTACCTATTTATTTATATATACATAGTTATTCAATATACATCTACATATATTTATGTATTATTAAATATAATACTATATATATATATTCAAAAATACATAAATACATATACTGCACCCGTGGCCCTGTTCTTCCCTTCTTGGCCTCAAATCAAATGCTCATTGAAGCTTTTGCAGCTCAGGCTGGTGTTTGTCCAGGGGCTGCGGGGTGCTGCTGTGACCACATCCATGCCCGGGGCGTGCCGAGGCTGTAATCACCTCCGTGGTAATTAGCACAGGGGGTATCTGCTCTCCACCAGTGGCCACGGCTGGATCTGGCTCCCCACAGCCAGTGCCAGCTGGAGCAACCACCTCCAGCACCAGCTTCATCTGGCAAAAACGCTCTAAAGGCAAAGAGAGGAGGAAAGGGAGGAGAAGGAAACAAACAGGAGACCCCACAGCTGATGGCAGGTTTCTTCTTGCCCTGATACCTCTGTGGGTGCTTCCAGCCTGGAAAACCAGGAGCTCTGCCTTGACCCCGAAGTCTTGTGACACTTGCTGGATGTGTTGCTGTCCCCCTCCTCTTTTCCCCTCCCTTGAAGCCGGAGCTGTTGAACTCTTCCCCCGCAGGTTCAGGTGGAGGTGGAGCAGTGGGAGGGAGGCACAGCCAGCCCTTCCCACAGGCCTGGCGCCCAGGGATTGGGGCAGCGGGAGCGCCCAGCCGAGGGCAGGGGCTGAACTGGGAGGAGAAATAGATAAACTATTAAAAGGAAAAAAAAAAAAAAAAAAAAAAAAAAAAAAAAAAAAAAAAAAAAAAAAAGAGAGAGAGAGAGAAATTCCAAGCCCTGATCCGGCCAGTCGGGTCGGCTCAAGCAGGAGGCGACGAGCAGGAAGCCTGCGGCCAGGGAAGCTCCAAAGGTAAATGCAGCTCTGTTCTGCTTTTCTTTCCGTGCTGAAGCCGCCTCAGATGAGGTCAGCAGGGTTTCACCTTCACCCCATTCCCTGCACATTCCCGTCCTGGCTCTCCTTCGCTCTCCATCCCGCTTGCTGCCTCGGCGCACCCACCCCACAACTCCCTGGCCACGGTGCCTCCCTGCCCTGCTCGCTTTCCCCATGGCTGTGCTCCAGGGAATGCTTCTCCCAGCCATCATTCACCACCCCACAACCTCCACATGGTGCCCTGCCTCAAATCCGGGGTTTCCCCATGCCAGGATGTGGGAAATGGGAGCCACTGCTGCCCGTTAGCTGGTGCTCCTCCCTCCCTGGCCCTCGGCAGCCCCAGCACCCCGTTCCTGCCATCCAGCACTGTCCTTCCCTAGAGCAAAGGGGCTCCGGGGATTTTGGGGCCTCCACACAGCCCCTGGCCAGGCTGCAGCTTGTCAGAGCTTCCTTATTCCGGCCGTCAGAGGAAATGGCTTAGGAGTGACCTATCCAGGAACAAAGCTGGAGCATCACACCAGGCAGAGACAGCCCCATGCCATGCTCAGGAGCATCTCCCACCCTTTCTCCATGTGAAATCCAGGTGGGCTGGCTTGTCTCCATCCCATCTTCTTCCTTCCCTGGCCATGGAGAAACTCAGTTAATCCTTTAGGTATAAATCACTTCCAGCTGGTCAAGCTGAACACGTACTGGGCATCTCTCATGTACCTTGATCCCTGGTTTCACCCATGCCTGGCACTAGGCTGCTCCAGAGGGCAGCACCGTGCCTGCATCCCTGCTCCAAGCCAGGCGGCACCACAGACCTCCCCTTCCACTCCACACCAGCCAACACGAGGGGACCAGCCCTGCTCCCACCCACAATCAGGGCACAGCCAGGAGTGCTGAAGCTCCACAGCAAAGAGGAGCCCTGGGAGAGGCTTTCACCCCTCTTGACTCCCAGTGTTAGGCCAAGTGTTTACCATGGAAACACAGGCACCGTGACGTCCCTGAGACTCCCACCTCAGCCCCGTCACCCGCATCACCCACATCAGGTGTGTGGGGATAGAGGAGCCCAGCTTTGCCGGGCTCTGCTCCCAGTATCTGCCTCTTTCCACGGGGCCATCGCAGTGACACCACCAGTGATGCCAACTGGGAGGTCCCTGTGTGCCATCCCTGTGCTCCCTGCTTGCCTGGAATGCTGTGCAGCTGTGCCAGTCCCTGGGCACAGCCACGGGGTAGCAACGCGCCGAGGCTCCCAACACGCCGGGAACGCGGCACACGCTGGGGAGCTCTCCAGGTGGGAGGCTGCTTTTCCATAAACAAACCAGACCACTGGTAATTAGCAGGTTTAAGGGCATGTCAGGCTGGAGGCAGCTCTGCAGCCCAGGCAGGGGGCTTGGCAGGTGAGGGAGGTACCACTGAGACCCCCAAAGCTGTGGTTTCGCATGGCTGAGCTCATTTCCCCAGCTTGGTTTTGGATTTGGGCTGAAGCTACATTTTTTTTAAATCCTGCAACCCCCAGCTGGTCATTAATCACCTCCCACGCAAAAATTCACGGTTGGGAAAGCCAGGCTGGGAGTCAGTGCAGGGAGGGCAGGTGACACAGTGGCCACCAGGCTGTGGGTGGGACGTGGCTTTGGCTTTACCGCAGAGCAGCACCCACCACCCCCAGTCAGAATTGCCACGGGGGCTGATGGGGGTGGCCAGGCCCTCCCTGTGCCAGCACTCACGGAGCTACTCCTGGTCTGTGCCAGGCCCAGCCCGCCCTGTGGCGGCAGCAGGCGGACTTTGTCCGTCCCGGAAGACGCTGTGTGAGATGCTGGCAGCACCCGCGCCTGTCACCTGAGCGTGCCATGGCAGGTAGGTGAAATCCCAATTCTCCCCTGTTCTCAGCTGGGAAGGATCCCTGTGCAAGCTCAGCTGGGGGTCCTGCTCTGGTATCACCTCTTAGATGCCAAGGGTCCTTCCCAGCCCCCAAACCGGCTCAGTATGTTGCTAAAGAGCCACAAAAACCACTCACTGCCAGACCCCCCAAGGCAGAGCTTGTTTTTCCGGGATGGCTACAGCAGTCATGTGCCCTGGGGGGAGCTGGATCAGCTTTCCCATCCAAACCTGCTCCCCTCTGTGCCCCTAGAACTTTGCAGCGTGCCCCCTGAAATCCTGGTGCCGGCTGCCAATGAGACGCTGGACCTGGTGCTGGGGAGCCGGGTCGAGCTGAACTGCACTGTGCGCTGGGCGGGCACCGAGCACTGCCAGCCCATTCCCACCTGGAGCAAGGATGGGCAGTGGCTGGGCAGTGGGAGCAGCCAGGACACTGTCTGGTAAGGAGCCTGCCCTGGGGACAGCTGTCCATCTGCTTTTGGAGGGTGTCACCACACAGCCCAACCCACAGAATCCCTCATGTCCTGTCAGGTCTGGCCAAAACTCCTCAGAGCAGCTCCTGGCCAGTGTCCTGCAGCTCAACCTCACCCACGATGCCGATTTCGGGGTGTTCGCCTGCTGGATCAGCAATGCCACGGCCACCTTCACCCTGCGGCAGGCAGGTAGGCACCTGCTGGTGACATGGGGGGGGCATCCCACGGAGAGCCCAGGTGCACGGGGGGATTGAGGAGAGTGCAGCCCTGCTGCTTCTCCCACACCAAGGTGCAAACCTGCACCAAACTCAGGTATGCTGCTCACCATGCCCTTCCCTGTCCTGGCAGAGGCGGTGGGGCACGTGCCAGCGGTGCTGGCAGCCCTCCTGGTCCTGGTGCTCCTGGTGCTCTTGGCTGTGCTCTATGTCCAGTGCCGCCTGAATGTGCTCCTCTGGTACCGGGACCGCTACGGAGAGCTGGAGATCAATGGTGAGCCAGAGGTGTTCCCACTGGGAACAGCCTCCCGTGGTCTGGGGGTTCACACAGCCCTTCCCATGTTATCCCTGCTCTGTGGATCTCCCCAGATGGGAAGCTCTACGATGCCTACGTCTCCCACGCCACTGCCCCCGATGACCGAAAGTTCATCCACTTCATTGTGAAGCCACAGCTGGAAAACCGCCATGGCTACAAGCTCTTCCTGGACGAGCAGAACATCCTGCCCAACTCAGGTAGGCACCAGGCAGGGCTGGGCAGGGGGTGACACAGGGCCTGGGGGCTTGACACCCTTTTTACCCACAGAGCCATCAGCTGACCTCATCATGAATGTCAGCCGGTGCCGGCGCCTCATCGTGGTGCTCTCCGTTGCATACCTGGAGCAGGAGTGGTGCAACAGCAGTTTCAGGTAGGAGAGCAGCAGCTCTCACAGGAGAGGAGAGGGGCTGGCAGGTCCCTCACCATCCTGTCACCCATTTGCCTCACAGGGAAGGGCTCTGGAGGCTGCTGGAGCTTTCCAGGAAACCCATCTTCATCGTCTTTGAGAGCCAGTACCGGGAGATCACTCACCCTGCCATCACCCTGCTGAAGCAGCACCGAAGCGCAGTGACCCTGTTGGTGTGGAGAGCCGGCTCCATGGTGAGTTCCAAGCAGGATCTGACCCTCCCCGAGCCCCCTTTCCCTCCCCAGCACCCCACAGTGCCAGCCTCCCTGCTGCCCTTTGGGGCTGCCCCATGGTGAGAGCTGCGCAGGACCCATCCCACTGGCACCCCCTTCCATTCCCAGCTCCCCGTTTAGGGTCAACCTCCCTGCTGCCCTCTGGGGCTGTGCCCCAGGCTGCAGTGCTAAAGAGCAGGTTGGGGCACTCACCTTTTTGAGGACATTTAAAAACCCAACCAGAAGAGCCTCAGATCTGGGAGCTCACCCCCCAAACCTGCATGGTCAGGACCCCATGACACTCCAGGGCATCCCCAGCCTCAGCTCCCTGAGCAGAGCTTTGGCCCAGGGCCACTCCGGCCATTTCGAGGCCAGGCTGGGAGCCGGAGCCCTGGGGAGCGTTCCAGCAGGTCGGGCCGGTTTCTCCGCCGGCGCGTGGGCACGGTGCCATGCCGGAGCACAGCCCTCACCTTGGCCAAGCTCCCAGCGCCGGGGAGAGTGAGCCGAGCTCCTGGAACCCTGCGGGGCCGTGCTCCGGTGGTCCCAGCCCAGCTCATCCCCTCCGGGCTCCTGCAGACCCCATCGTCAGACTTCTGGAAGGAGCTGTGCCTGGCCCTGCCACGCAAGGTGTCCTTCCCGGGCAGCGTGGGGGACCCACAGACCCAGCTGCAGGAGGACAAGGACCCCATGCTGATCCTGCACAGCAGCTACCTGGACAGCGCAGGAGACCTGGACCCGGACGGGGACCTGGGCACAGGTCTGTGTCCCTGCTGCTTCTCCCGAGGGGACAGATGGGCGCTGGAGGTCACTCCTGGGCTTTGCGTCCCGCTCCTATTGGGGCGGGGTGGGTCCAGCCCCTTTCCCCTCCACGTAAACCCATCTCCCTGCTCCTGCCAGGCCTCCGAGGACGCGTCTTCGGGAGCCCCCCGCCCCCCCGCCTCGGTGGGCACAGCACTCCCAGGAATCTGGCATCCAGCGGGATGGAGGACACGCAGCTGCGGGACGGGCAGCGCTCCGAGATCGACGTCTCGGATCTGGGATCGCGCAACTACGGTGCCCGCACGGACTTCTACTGCCTGGTGACAGAGGATGACATCTGAGCAGGACCACAGGTGTCCCCCGGCCCTGTGGGGCACACGGACCAGGTCAGGGCCGAGAAGCCCGGGAGTTATGATGGGATCAGAGCCACAGCTGTGCTGGAAAATCAGGAGCTGTCTCCGAAGTGGAAAACTGGAAAACCATCACCAGGAGCACCCTGCCTATAATACCTCAGTACCACCCCTGGGTGCCACCCAGGTGGCGGGGCCCTCTAC